TATTAAACTATTAAAACTGACACAGAGTAAATATTATTTTACAATTAGAAAATGACTTCAAGTACTATGAGAAACTATTCCCGGAAATCCTACTTTTTTCCAGTTTGGTCGATTTAAAAATTTCTTTTATGGTACTAATTTTCGCCACAGCGTCTGTAACTAATGTCCCCGTAGCATATAATTTTGTTGAATTATTGTTTTAAGATGTTTTTCTAAAAAATAAGACATTAGTAAAGTGAGGTTATGAAATTAAAAGGCAAATAAATTAAAACTTACCGTTTTTAATGATAAAGTTTACTAGTTCCGATATACCACAGTTCCAATAATGTCAAATAAATAATATAAAAAGACAATATATAAAAACACACAACCTCGAAAAAGTAATGACAATGTCTATAGACTGACGCTAAAAATTGTATTATACAATGGCTGTCCCGAGAAGAAGGCAGTTGAGGAAGAACACGACTCGATATGCGCGCGCGAGACTATCCAATCAGCCAATGACAAATGACGATCATACATGCGCAGGCAGCGTCAGGAACGGTGTCGTTCCGACATATTTAAATATAACGAAGAGTTGAATGTCCACATTATCTACAAAAAAAAATCCCAACAAAAACGTTTTGAACATGTTAAACCATCCGTTTTACGTACCAGGACGTATGGACGAAAGTAAGACATGAATCCAAAGATTTTTTGCTGGATCCAAAGGAAATATAAAATAAAACAACAAATAAACATTACTGCAATTACATAAAAAGCAGAAGTAAATTAGAATTTAATAAAAGTTAATATTTAAAATTGTACGACACCCCACTGGAAAAATTTACATGTTTGGCCATTTTAATATCATTAATTGCTTAAATATCAATGAAAAGCATAAAATAAACAAACTTGGTGTGTATAATTTATTATGAGACATGTACAATATGTAAATACCAAGTTGTATAATACCAAATAAAATGAGAAATATAAGAAAATATATAAACTGAAAACGATTTATGTTTATCATTTACCTGTAAAACGTAATATCTGCTTCTTTCTTGCCGCTATAACTTTTACACTGATATGCCACACAATAAACCATTGTAATAAACCAATTATTAAATATCGTTTAATTCAAAAATCATAAATAAACACGAACAAAAACTTTGGTGTCACCGAAATGATTAGCACCAAAATAATGGCGGCCAATAGATAATCGGCACAGAATACTACGTGTGCTCGATATACTTGTTACGCTTCCTCTCTTTATTACCTAGTCTAAGACTTGCGCCATGAATGGATTTAAACATAGCCAGGCACCTTGAAAGACCTGGCTTTCAAATAAGCTTCAAAAAAAAAAAAAAAAAATACAAAACTAAACTAAGTGTCCAAGGGGAAATTTTTTGTAATAGATCGGTTAACAATATGTCCTTTTGACAATTTTATCGCCACCACTTTTGTAATATCATCGGCACCTGGAAGTAGTTGAGCAATTCAAATGAAATTACTCTCTGCTGCGGGATAATTTAGGCAGTTCAAAAATAAAGAAGGAGGACACATTTAAATTTGATTTATGCCAGATGATGGTTGTATAAAGAAATGCAATGTAAATTTTTTTAAATTATATCATCCTCCTCATTATTATTAGTGTCCTTATAAAAGGCAGAGTCACGTATTTGTTGTCATTTGGGCTGGTTCGATTATCTATTCAAACAAGCGGTTTTAAGGCTGATTTAATAAAAAACTGAAGTAATTATTTTTGGAATAACAAAAGTTATTCAAAGTTTTAACATAAATATCTCTAAATAAATATCGAGATTTCTGTTTTTACATATAAACTCTGTCGGATTCTATGCGTGCTTTTATTTTTTCAGGTAGATCTGTGAAAATTAGATACCCGTGTACCTTTAAATCAGTCAAAACGTATTTTTGTATTACTACTCTTGAATAGTATACAACTGAGATTTCAAATCGTACCTTCAAAAACTACATACGAACTTTACTCCATTCGTTATCTACAGGAATTTTTAAAAATAAGCACATGTTCTTTTATTTCTTTTGAAGAAAATATTTACAAACTTCCATTTTCGTAACTTGAAATAAAATGTCCTTTATAAAACTTTACCACCCCTTTTTCCCCTTTAGGGACGGAGTTTCAAAAAATCCCTCCTTAGTGTGCATCCTTAAGGTACTCATGGACTCTTGTTTTCCAATTTCAAGAGTCTAGGTCCACCAGTTTAGGCTGTCCCTTGTCAGTCAGTCACTTACGGTACTGTTTTATATAGATGACTCCATAAACAACTCTTACCTGAAGAATTTCCCATTCCAATCATAAATAACAGAAATATTTCTCAAAGTAGTAAACTACTCCTCAGAGGCCGTGACCTAAGTTTAAAATGTGGTATTTTTCTCTTAATCCGTTTTTGAATTATCGTGGATATAGTCTAAACGGATTCAGGAGACCTCAATACGAAAAAAAAAAAAAAATCATGATTCCTACACTTTCCATACTGGTAACTGGAAACTAAAAATTAATTAGATCTAAGTAACCATGGAGTTTACTTTTGCCGAGAAGCTGAAGAAAATCAATAGAGGCGTTTTCTCTACCAGGGAAACCTTTAGAGTAAAAAATTAATCAAAATTGCTAAGCCTGATTTTTATTTCTTCCTTTATAAATTTAACTCCGACCACTCCATGGTGCGTTCTTCACCTAATTGTGCAAAGCCGATTCTCGCAAAGGACCCAATATAATGACCGAAAGTCAAATTTAACTTTATTGAAAAACATGTTAAATGGCTGTTAACAAACGTTGTTCTAAAGGATGATCTATGTGTCAGAGACTATGAAAAATAAATCTCATCGGAAACACGAAAACAATGAACAGGATTTCCACCATTCTTGGCAGCTTTCCCCTTAGTGTCTATTCAATTGTAAGGAATTAGGTTCCTTAAAAAAAGTATTACTACTTGCCAAAAACAACATAATTTTAACAGTAACAGAATAACTAGGTACGGCACTGTACGAAGTTGTAAAAAACAAAAATCGCACATTCAGCTGTGAACGTAAGCCACTAGAAGTAAGCAATTAAATCACCGACATTTTGTCGCCGTCGCCAGTTTTTCGTTACAAGTGCGATGCAGAAAAAAATTATATCACCCGTTGTCACGCCATAAACATTTATTGGTGCGAACACCAAAAACCGAGCTTCTAACTCTGTAATGTATGGAAGGTGGGTTAACCCACAGCACTTTGGCCTTACTGGGCCCATTGTGCATCCTCCTAAGTAGATAAACACCTCCTAGCTCGTGAGCCAGCCTAGAGATTTAATTTAGTTGACAACGTCACCAAAAGGTGCATCTCTTATATCGGCCGGTGTTAGCCAATTTTCGCCGAAGAAAACTCTTCAAATAAATGAGAGCGTCGGGTAATCTTAAAGGACATGCTCGGGTATCATCTTCTTGTTCGCGCCTCCTGCAAAGTGCGGATTCTGACTGCCCCATGATACAGAAATGCTTCCGTACTTGGCAATGACATTTGAATGCCTGTGATCAGGAGCAGATTCTGTCTAGTCATAGTCAAGTATTTGTTTACTGTAGTGTTGTCAGAATAACTTAAAAGCTCCCTGGAAAGTCTGCAGCTTCTTGTTTCATCCCGTCTTTCCTTGAATTTCACAAGGGAATGTTCTTTAATTAAGTTTGTCACTACCGAGCTTTAACATCTTTACAGGATACAATATTTCTAAAACATTGATTGACGTAGGGGAAAAATATTTGCTTAGAAAAATATAAATTCAATCACAGTGTTGTAATCAAAATGTACGACTGTTTTTCAAGAATAAAATAAAGAATCTTGTAAACTGTATATCTGAGTCAAGTTTATTATTTCAACCAATAAAGGAAACTTCTAGACTTGAAATCAGGAATTAAACCCGCAAAAAATAGGTTCTGTAAAATGATCCATTTCATTATTCAGTCATGCTCTTATCCTCCAAGTCCCTCTTTGTCTTATTTGGCCTTTGAGGCTCAACTCGTCCGATTATCATACATAATTAAACCCCTTAAGACCAAACATATGTGACGACTATGGCGGAGGCGCTTTCGCGTACATTCCTGAGTCAACGTGTTAATGTTTCTAGTATATTCCAGATATAATGAGATGTTTCTATTTTGGTGGAGGAGCATTATGAAATCCATCAGAACTTTAAATTTGTATATAAATATTGGTAGAGGAACAACGTAGCAGTCATTAGTATACAAACCTTCGAAATATATGTAAATTAAAATAGTAGTGTTATAAAATAAATAATTGTTTAAATAAATTATTTACAAATAAACTGTTGTTTAAAATAAACAAACATTACAGTTCATTATTTCAAAACCAGCAAGCAGAATAATTCATCCATTTTCCACTTCTTTCCATCTCGCTTCTTATTGGTATATATTTAATAAGGTACTTATGAGGATCAGGATCAATACTGTTCATTATTGATGCCATATAGGATAGTGATATCCATTTTATTTGCTTGCAGATGGCAATTTGTCTTTGTTCAATCAATATTTCAATGTTCTCTAGCATTTTGAAATTCACTTAAATTCTAGTGTTCGCAGTCCTGTAAGTGAATCAATCGTACAATAAGAAGTATTACCTCGGACATCAATCCAAAAAAAAGTTTTGTCACTTTCAATATTTCACTTTCCCCATGCATTTATTTTAATTTATTACATGTTCGCCAAGTTAGGTAGCCTCGGTAGTAATGGTCTGCATGCACATTTTTTATGTTTTTTCGTTTGTTTGTTAAACAAATACCTTTGATTTTATTTAAAGTGTTTTTAAAATTGAAACGTTTGCCAGAAAAGTACATTTTAATAATCTGTACCTAATATTTGAGTTGCTAACCGCAACGATAAATACTAAAAAGTTTAATTAAATATTCATATTTCATGGAAAATAAATTTTATGGTATAATTTAATTTATAATGGCTTTTGTATTTTAGAAATCGAACTGATAAATTCTATGTAGGATTAATCGAACTTAATAAGTTTTTTTAATATAATTTGTTTCTTAAAAAGATGAAGAATACATATATTTTTCTTCTTTTTTTTACAGGGGTTATGTTTTCAAATATTGTTGAAACCGTAGATTGTAAGTGTACAAAAATTATTAAATTTCTAAAAAATAACTAAGAGTGAAAATATACCGTATGTTCTACGGCCGCTTTAAAGTTTTTTTTTTTTTTTGTATTTACTTAACGGCCGTTTTTTTTAAACACATACTTATCGAAAGTTTTTGTTACTAGTCATTATTGTCTAATTTACAATGTTAATCAAAAAATCTTATGAACTAATTACTTATCTAAGAAGTCCCCATTAGGCTGTTTTAATTATTTCTATAGGAAGCATCATAAGTTGACGTGACGATTTATTATACTGTTTTACACTAAGATTAACATTAACGTTCACTGCCCTAGCTCAATACGCTTTTTTCTTTTGAGCCTTCTGTTAAGTGTAGTGCTGTCCAGAAATTTCAGCGCCTCTTCGTTGAGGTGCGAGTGGAGTCGACTCTCATGTTTCGCAGCAAACCTCTTTATTTAATCTTTGACTGTTGGCAGCATCTTCAGGTCTCTATGAAGATAATCGTTTCGATGCATCTTATGACTTTATTTTGGGAAACTTGTATCCTGTTGTTATTACTCTTGCTGACACGCCCCCCTAGCTGAATGCCATAAATCTAGACTGGTTTTTGGATTGTTTATAAATCAGCAGTTTATTATACACTGACAACTTGAATTTTCTTCCTAGGAGCCAATATATTTTGTTGAATTTAAGTTTAAGTTCTTTACGCTTTTTTATGTGCTCTTTCAATTTAAGTCGTTCATCCCTACGTATTTGGCCGAATTGTGATGCGAAATAACATCATTGTTTATTCTTATTTTTTTTGTTCATTTTGTCGAAGAGTAAAATCAACATTCACTGATTTATTTTGATTTGTTTTTATTTTCTACTTCTTTGTCCATCGAATGATTCTCTTGCAGGTTTCCTGGAGTTTTTCTGAAGTATCTGTATTGGTTCGGCCAACTGCTAATATTGTAGTGTCATCCGCAACTGTTGCTACTTTAACTTATTGTTGTTGAGGGATATCGTTGTGTACATTAAGTAAAGGACCGGTCCTGGTATACCACCTTGTGGGATATCTGCTTTAATTTCTTTCATTTTGAAGTATGCCTCATTTGCTTCACTCTAAACATTCTTCCTTTTAGATATTATAAAAGAATGTCGGCATATTGTCAATAGTTGAATACCGAAATCATAAACAGTAATTTAACGCCAAAAATGTGCAAGGAATGTTGACAGAGGTGCTATATATAAAATTGCAATATATATACCTACTACTGTAAAAAACCCTTGTCCTGTAACCTCCAAAGTTTTCTCCAAACATTGGCGCAATGTCATATGACAGCATTATTCACATATTAAATTACTGTCTATTATTTCAATATTCAACTATAGGGAGCATTTTTTAAGTTTCTGTATTAGGCGAGCATGTCAAACCTTGTCAAATGCTTGGGCTACGTCAATGAATATAGCTGAACATACATTTTTCTTCGTATGCTTTTTGTCTCTCTGTTGTCAAGTGTTCGTTTCTAAAACCAAATTGGTGCAAAGGGACCAGGTTTTTATTTTCAATTATTGGTTTTAGTCGTTTAAGAAATACCTTTTTAATTAGCTTAGATATTATTGGTAACAATGATGACACTTTATTTGGATGTTTTCCTGGCTTGGGAATTAGGATAAGTTCAGCCATTTTCTACGCATCTCGTATATATTTAGGGCGAAATGCCACATTTATGAGGTATTTCAATTTAACGATAGCTTTCCATGGCAGTTTCTTTAATATTTCTTCAGTAATAAGGTCATATCCTGGGGCTTTCTGTAGGTTGTTATTTGTCGCAACTTCATTGGGATTAACTAGCCTAATTTCATGCTTCCATATTATGAATTGTCTCATCTTGATTTTCTTCTAATTGGAATGTCTTTTCTAGGTGGTCAGCGAAAATATCAGCTTTCTGTTGGTTGTGTCTTGTCCATTTGTTATTTGCTGTTCTGATAGGAGGACAGTGGTTACATGAGTTTTTTCTTCTTAGTTGCCTTTCAGAGCAAATAATCACTTTCTTTGTCATTTGTAAGCCCTAGTTGGTATCTGTTAAAGGATTTTTTTGTGATTTAAGATTTCTCTTATCGTTAGAAATTCTGTTCAAATCTTTGTTACTCAACAATAGGTTTTTTTTATTTGATCAATAAAAATTTGAAATTATTTTTTAAATAAAGAGAATAAAAAAATATGTTGGCCTCGGTCACAAATTTCTGATTCTGCCAAAAAAGATAAACTTTACGGCCTTGGTACGCAAATAACTATTTTTTAACATGGCAAAATCGATTGCTTAGAAAACACAACGTCGAAAAATAATATTAAATACAGTGTGTTGTATTTAAAATAAACGATATTTTAAATTTTTTAAACTAGGTGATAAATTGTAATTTTTAAATTTTATAAGCAATTCAAAAATAAAATAAAAAATCCAAGTTCTATTTAAAATTAGCGAATTGGTATTTACTTCCGGTATAGACGGAAATGTCTTAATCGTAAAATATTACAATTTAAATCAGCACTATCTAACACCAATACTGGCTAAATTTTAACTATAGAATATAATTATGTCCATAAAAATATTTTAAACACAAAGGTATTGACTGTTTTGTATCGGCACTCACTATTTTAAAATTTTTATATTAGTTTGAAGACGTATACCAAAAAATATTCTCCCGCGTTAGTGAATAAGTAGTCTAATATGAAGTATTAGTTCTTTGAATAAAAAAATACCTAGAAATCGATAATTTAATAGTTCACACAATTTGTTTTGTTACAGTAATTGAAGGGGAATCACCAACAGTGGCGATGGGTAAGTAATACCTTTAAACACAAATTTTTTAAATTTTTTTATTATTGCTGGTTCATTCGTTTTAAAAATCAAAATAAACTGATATAAAAATAACACTTATCCACCTAGTCAAAATAATTATTTCTTTATTAAATAGGCGAAATCAGTGTTTTTTAACGGAGCAGGATTTTATCAATTCAATAGAATGCATCGAAAGATTTGTCGATGTTCGATAATAATTTAACGACACGTTTAAGGTGATTACAGAACCCCTTATAATTTTCGGACAAGGATATCTCAAAAAGGGATTTTTTTAAAAAAATTAAAATTTTGCCAAAATAAATTAGGCAATAATATCTAGAATATTTTAAATATTTTAAATTTCCTAAAAAATCAAAATTTTGTAATATCATAATGAAAATAAATGCATTCCTCAACAGCACTATTCTTAATATAATTAATAAATTTAAGCGTTTAATGTTTTGTTAATGATTTTTTAAAATTGGCGAAAATTAGTGGCTAAAACGCCTCGTTAAGTGCTATCTTCTGGTGTAAACTAGTGTAAATCATTGCAGGAAACAAATGATGACTGAGTGTACGATACGATGCTTACAGTCACGTTACAACAGAAGGCAGCACTTAACGAGGCGCTCTAGCCACTAATTCTGGCGAATTTTAAAAAATCATTAACAAGACATTAAGAACTCAATTTTCGGGATTATATTAAGAAATGCATTTATTTCTTCATTTGAACGACATTGGTTGATATTAAAAATAAAAAATATATTTGTGGCTAAGACTTTGATTTTTTTTCCTTAAAGGGAAAATTTACATTACAAACTAAAAGACTTGCTTGGCAACGGTAGCTTAGTAGGTATAAAAATTACAACTTAAGGGTGGAGTCTAAATACTACAAAATTACTTCCGAGATCTAACAAAATCAGCATTCATTCGTAATTTTAACAATTGCATGTAGATACGAGGGATGCATATTCTAAACTTTAACTCGCGAAGTTGAAGACAAAGGAACCGAAAAATATTCCACAATAGCACAAAATAATATTACCTATGTATTTTACAATATAAGTATGGTGTAGATTAAAACTTATTTTGGCTGTCGACAAATTTGGTTAAAAAATCTTCTTTTAGAAATATACCTTTCATTTGACGAAAAACGAAGGCCTAAACGAAAAAAAATATTCTTCATAAAAGTTTCGCCTGTGTATTGACAAGGTAATAGTGCTTTCCTTATATTTTTTGCTATGAAATTAACAAAAATATAGCAATAACCAATTACTGATGTCATGGTTTTACAGGAAAGGAAGCAGTCTCTTGACTATGCGTCTCTCAGGGATGAAATGTATGCAATCTGTTTGACTCTCTTACATTATTTTATATAGGTATTATTGATTTATCCGCTATGAAGGCGAATAATGTTTTATAGGGTGTATTACTTCATGATTTTTTTTTGAGGAAAATATAAACTATTTATGGAAGGTATAAGCACAGTATATATAAGTATAGGTTATAAACAGTAAGGCTATTGCTTTGCAGAATACAATAAATTCCTAATAAAAAAATTCAATAATTAGAAGTATATAAAGCATAAATTAATAATATTAAAATATATAAGTACAGGACTCAAACTAATCAAAATCAGATTCACCACATTAATCTACATTTTCCAAAACATTAGTGGCTATGATCAAACTATTTCTGCAGTTTTTCTGTGCCATACAGGTGCATTAAGCGATGTAGCCAATATTTTTTCTTGCATTTGCAAATTTTGCTTCCATAGTCTAGAATATTGTACATATATGAAAATTATCGGTGTATAGTACCTTTTTGCATTTGCATGATAAGTTATGTTATTTCTGGTAGCAGGTCGAGCATAATCTTAAGAGTGAGTATCAGACCTCAATCTTGATCTACTTTCCATTAATACTCTTCAACATTAGGAAGCTGCATCTGGGTCTTTAAAGAGCATAGCCAAATATTTTGCTGCTAAAAACATCTTAAACAATGTAATCTTAGGGCGTCTTCAGTCAATGGCAATTTAGCAATTATTTTAAAGGGGCCATTAATCTCCTCAAAATGTTAATGGAAGTAACATTGGCAGTTTTTGAATACAGTTTTATGAAAAATTTTTCAAGATTAGAGAATGTGTTTTCAGAGTACCTACGAATCAGTGCCAAATCCATCCAAAAGGTAATGGTGTTCAAGGTAGGTTTTCCAACAGGTTCTTTTTCCAATGCCAGACAATTGGTTGGATTTATTACGACCTGTCATAGAATGAAAAGAAGGCAAATTTTTTAGAAGTTTTTTAATCCAAATTTAAATCATGTACTGTTATAAATCGTCACGAGTCTACTCGCCCTATTATGAACCATATCTTTTTAGTTCAAAACTACTTAAAATAAATTAATAAGACTAGAACATCTGTATCGTTGCAATAAATAATGCAGCGTGAATTCCCCAAATTTCTGGCTGATAATATGTGCAATAAGATACGAGTATCAGCTTCTTCAAGATTTAAATTTAAGAAATCGTCTTTTGATGGTTCAAAATTCATCCCATATTTATTGATACTCGCGAATCCACCACTAGATACAAATTTTCAAGAAGTTGCTCTGACAGAAAATGTGTTAAACGTCTTTTATTAAATATCGAATGAATAAACAAGTTTCATTATTCTGGAAGTGGAATATTGGGTCGGTCAATTTCTATATCAATTGATTTCTGGGATCATCTCTTTTGACGTGTTGTATTTTTCATAGAATTTTCTTTATAATGATTAAATATCACATCTATCCTTTGAGCATTAAATTTATTTTTAAAAATAATCTTTACAAATATATTAGCATATTCTTTAAATGATATGCAACTTTTGGACTTTCCCAAACCTTGAGCTATTGCTATCCCATCAAAAATGTAACAAGTTTAGCAAGATCACCTAGGTGCAGGTAAGTCTTTGTGGGTCATATTGCTCTAAAATATTTCCCAATAAACTCTTATTTGTAGAGGTGCCGATATACCCATTTACTGTTAGAGACATGGGAGAGGCTGTCAGATCAAAATTAAGTATTTCGGCATAATTACCTAATGCTTCTGTCCATATCCTTTGCTAATAAAATATTGTGATGAAACTGTTGACCATGCAAGGATTAAGAAGTCATATTTTGATATCATTTGTGTCTTTGTTTCTTGCAACAACAAATCCGTAATTAAAATGTTTAACGAACACTAACCCAACTCACCCAAATATATTCAGGCATTCAGCTATAACAGGATGAATGTAGATGTAATAAAAACCTAAAAAATATCTATATTTCTTCCCAATTTATTAGGAACTTTATTATGTAACACACTTATTAATTTTTTAGTAAAAACAGACAATATGACACTTTGTCCATTGGCACCTAACGAAAAGTTTGATAATAAAAAAATGAAAAAAATTTGAGCATATCAATAATGTGATGCATCAGCCGACACGTAAAGAGAAACAGAGCTATACTACGTTTTTCATTAGGGCCTTCCTTTTTGTTAAATGATAAAATTATATTTAAAAAAATGACTTTTTAAACAAATTTTTGAAGGGCTGAAATTTTTATTAAATAAGTATAAACAATTACTCCTTACAAAGATTTTATTGTGCATTGGACCAAAAAATAAATATTTTTTTTTATTCGGCGGTATCAGTATCTGGATTTTGATGATAGTGCCCTTCTACACAGTCTAATTTTGTGTTACCTCCGGAATAAGGGTTACCTTATCATGACCTTTTATCTCTGGAAAATTCAGCTTGTGACAAAGGGGGTAAATCGTTTTCTAGAGCGAATATTTTAATACATACACTCATTACACTCTACTAATAATAATTGATTAAGAGTAGAAAAGCGTCCATAGTTTAGCAATACATTCCCTTCTACATCACATAGTAAACAAACAATAAACGGTCTCATGACATTTTATATTTTTAAATAAACTAAGTTTTTAAAAAATATTTTCTATACATGTTATTTTTTATATTCAAGCGGATTTATAATATTTAAACTTGGAGTAGCCATAGTTAAATGAAAAGGTACCTTTGGTTTTATAATATGTAGCGATCAGATATAATGTTTCAGCATATTATTATTATTTATATTTTAACAAAAATTATTTTTATTGTTTGAATAATCTGTTATAATGAGGTACAGCTTCTAGAACAAATTCATAAAATACCCGTACTGTTAAACTCACCATTTATTTGGCATTCTGTCCCGTACTTCCATGTCTCTATTAGCTCTGCTGTCAACTAGTTCTGGTAAGGCATATTGCATATAATAATTTTGAATTTTATTTTGCATCTTTTCTTCCCAAAACCTGTCATTATGAGGAATTTCCTCCACTTTTATTTCTCGAGAAGTCCAAACGCACAAAACGCAAAAAATCATTTGTGTAATGTGCAGGCTAGCCCTGAATTTGAAAGTACCGATTGTGGTTCCCCTTAATGGTATTATCCTTTTTCCAGAAAGTTATTTTTCTACTGCATATTCCTTTTTCTTCAGTCAACACTCTAGCTTCATATGGATATTTTAACTCTATCATAGAGTTTTTTGTTTTAAATTCCATCTGGACTGGCAGGAACATAATCAAATTCGGAATCAATAAAAGTCCACATATAAAAACTTTTTCTTGCTAATAAATTTCCAAATCTTATTTTGCTCTGGATTTATTATCCATGTCATATTAAAAGGCTTTAGCAAAAAATAAAAGATTTTATGAGATTGTTTAAAAAATGCCTTTCCTTTTTTTACAAATGTCTCCAAATTTTGAAACAGTGACTCGTTTTCGTCTTTCATTTTGCTACAATCCACAATCAGCTTGATCTCTTGTCACATTCATTTTTTTCTCATCTATAGACATTATCAATTATCAAACTTTTTAGAAAATCTTCTTTTGCAACGCGCATCAAAGAGTGTGAGAGATCAAAGCCCACGCTCGAAAGCAAAAAAAATGATTTACTAAGTTCGAAAAAATATACATTACTTTAACAGCTTAAAGAGTTGTTAACATGCTGGAATTCATTATTCTTAACTCGAAGATGTATTCATTAAAAAAAATTCCCGTGCAATATGAAAGTTAATTTATAATTCAAAAATCATTGTATACCTTTTAATTTCGGATATATTTTTTTAATAAATGAATGATAAAATTAATTTAATTGAGCGAAATTACTGTATGTAAAATAACAAAGTGTACAGACATAAAACAAAATAAATTCAAATCACTTGCGTACGTTTATCACCTGTAAACAGTAGAAAAGGATATACATTTTGTTGGTGTCGCCCTCTAGACGAAAAAGCTTTTAACGTATTTTTTTAATTTTTATTGAGAAAAATAAATGTTCCTGTAAAAATTAAAAACATATATTGTTCTCTTCTCTTCAAAATAAACCGATTCAAATGTTCAAAAAGTGACTCCTTTACCTGTACTTACATAATTTTTCAAAAAATAAAAAATAATCCGTAAAATTGGTGTACTATGAAACCCATTGCATATTATATAAATATGTCTATATTAGTATTACAGAAATGATTTACTTAAAACAATAAGGTGTACCTACAAATACGTAAACTTTAATTATCCCTCGTAAAACATCAGTAAAATATTTTGTAAATTGTTTTCATTCACAAATATTAATTTCTTGAAAATCTAACAGCGGCGCCACTTGCCAGACGAAAAAGCTTGCAATGTAAGGGTTTCGTAGTACCCCACTTTTAAAGTTTATTTTTAAGTATTTTTAAAAGAAAAAAATATGTTCGTGTAGATAAAGATTAAATCTATGCTCCTCTGGAACTACTTTTTCAAAATTAAATTTAGTTTTTTCTAAAAAAAATTGAGAAAATGGATCAAAAAAGTCGAGTTTTGTGTTTTTTTTTAGAAAAAACAAATTGAAATTTTGAAAAAGTCTTTCCTGAGGAGCACAGATTTAACCTTTACCTACATGCACATATTTTTTCTTTTAAAATATGTCAAAAATAAACTTTAAAAGTAGGGTACTACGAAACCCTTGAATGCTCTTCTCTAAAGACAAGTAAATACTCCTCTTAACGGTTATACCAAAGATTTGAGTTTATAAATTTTTCAATTTATAAAATAAAAGAAAATTGAAAAATAATTTGCATTTTCCTGTATTTGAACCCTGGACCTTTCACAATGAACCGTCACTTTTGCGCTAACAAGCCATAGAATATAAGTTCCCTTTTCCTTAATATTGATTTAAGTTCTTTTTAATAAAATTTACTGTTTCTTTGTAAATATAAATATCACTAATTTTTAATTAAAAGTAACCCTAACAATAATTAAAAATCTGATGTGTCCATCACATGACTTTGTATAGTTATTACAGGCTTTTCCGGTTATTTTGTTCAACATATTGCATAATCCGGTTAATTAGAGGATAAACTAAATACATTAATTTTCCACATAATATCGTAGGCTACGGTTTGTTAGAAGCGTGCACGACGCAAAACTCACAGTCTGCTGAGCGCCGCGCACGTCCGTCCGCTGAAATCTAACAATGTTAATAGTATGGGAATCGGAGCATGCATGAACTGCGCACTCTTAAAATCACATTGCAAGGGTTATATCAGGTACACGCGAAATTTTTCACGAATTGCGCACTGTCCATGGGATTATCCATCTCCATTTTTCCATTTCCTCCACCTAAATAATTTTGTAATGTTTTAAACACAAAAAAATTTGTATATTAATTAATGAAACCTCAAAATCAAAAATTAGTTCTTATTATATAATTCGTTGAGACCTACCTTCAAATTTGTATTTTTCAACATGGAAGCAGAGTTTCATTTAAGTGAACGTAGAAAAGAAGTTCTTGTCTTCAAAGAAGCAACATTTTAAAAAATGGAGGTATGTTTTGGCGATGCACTGTGAAAAGTTACAATGCCAAAGTATAGACTTTGGGTAAAGAAAAGGTAATTTCTAGAACTAATTGACACATAATCACGTCACATATGTTAAAGTATTCAGGTAGATAGTGCGCATTTCAAGGCCGACAAATTTTTATATAATAATATAATTATCTATAATTTTTATCCTATACATATTTTCTCTAAAATGGACCGTATTTGATATATTTGAAAAAATGTGTATATTTTGAAATTTGAAGAAAACTCAAAAATGGATAAAGAAAAAACATTAAATTTTAAATTTAAGTTTTATTTCGGCCTGACGTGAAATTATTAGATTTTGAACAAAGTCGGAACATCTGGGGGGGGGGTACTTTATGGGAGGCCGTTTTTATATTTTATGAAATATATCTGTTATTTATGTTTGGAGAAGAAAATTGTTCAAATAAAAGTTACTTCTAATATAATAATTATAATTTCTGCTTAATGTCAAAATTTCCTGAAATGGTCCGTATTCGAGAAATTAGACAAAATGTGCAAAATTCTGATTTTTATGAAAATTGTTGAACTAAAAGTTGTTTGCGATATCGATCTCTATAATTTTTGTTTACCTACACATGATTTTTCTAAAATGGACCGTAATGAAAAAATTGTAGGAAATTTAAATTTTTCAGTATTTTCGTTTTCAATGAACATCTATAGAAAAATGTTTCGAAGTAGATGTATGTGGAAAATGTATATATTTAGTTTATCCTCTAAACATTTATAGAGGTGCGGCAATAGGTTGTACAAAATAACCGGAAAAGCCTATAATAACTAGATAGGAAAGCCATGTGTTGGACACATCAGATTTTTTTTAGTATCTTCAAAAATACATTGACAAAAATATATCTCGAATAATTAATTCATATTTAGACGAAGCTAAATCCTTAATATAAATACCAAAATAAATTTTTTGTTACTTTATTTACAAATTTTACTAATTTTATTATTTTTTAGCGAATGCAATACAAGTAACTAGAGAAATACAATTATGTAAGTATTATTTTTTTTATTAATTTATTTAAATTACGCTAATTTTAATTTTAAATAAATATACACTAGTCATGAAGCTAAGTAGGTAGTTTTTGGGAGTTAATGTGGTATAGCTACTGAAAAATACTATATATTTTTTAATCATTTAGCCAATAAGTTGCCAAACATTGTGTATTAAGTTACCAAAATGTTTCCAGTTTATTTAACTTTAGTACTCAAGCCTTGTCATTTCTAGCATTTTTCAAATAATTATAGACCGAATAACATTATACAAACCTAAAAATTATAGAAAATTATGTATCGATTTCTAAAACCACTAGTGGTGTCTTCCAATAAAAAATAATCTCAATCTAATTCTGTAAATTCATTTATGATTTAGAAAAAGAATAAAACATTTATTAAACACAATTATATTGAAAAATGAAAGTGGTATCAATCTTCTCTAATGTAGTCAATTTAGTAACAAAATATATACCCAAAACCAAAGATGCACTATAAAAAATTTGTTATTGAATTGAAAAAGCAACCGGTTTCGTTCGTTTATTTTTGTATATTTATTTTGTAGGCCTGTCAATAAAAACATCCTATTTTGAAAATTTCACATTAATTACAAAAATTTTTAAACTTTTTAAAAATAATACTACTAAACTATTATAGTTTAAATATTACTAAGTTTAAATTTGCAACCATTGCCAAGGTCCGGAACTAGTTAATTGATAGCAAAATGGCGCTTTTTTTTATAATTTTAAGAATAAAATTGCAGAAGCATTGCAAACTTGAAGCAATATGTATTGTATTATTTTCAACATTATATTAGATTTGCAACTTTTTCGAAAGTCGGGAACAAGATTATTCTTGGAAAAATACCGTTTTTGTTTATATTATAGATAAAAAATTTCCAAAGTGCTGCAAACCGATACAAGTTTTTGAATCAGCTATTCCAATTTGAAACCATTTATTTTTTACTGTACTCTACTGTTTTCTACTTTACTCTACTATTCTCCACTGTACTCTACTGTACTCTACTGTACTCTACTGTACTCTACTGTACTCTACTGTACTCTACTGTACTCTACTGTACTCTACTGTACTCTACTGTACTCTACTGTACTCTACTGTACTCTACTGTACTCTACTGTACTCTACTGTACTCTACTGTACTCTACTGTACTCTACTGTACTCTACTGTACTCTACTGTACTCTACTGTACTCTACTATACTATACTGTACTCTACTGTACTCTACTGTACTATACTGTACTCTATCGTTCTCTACTGTACTCTACTGTACTCTACTGTACTCTACTGTACTCTACTGTACTCTACTGTACTCTACTGTACTCTACTGTACTCTACTGTACTCTACTGTACTCTACTGTACTCTACTGTACTCTACTGTACTCTACTGTACTCTACTGTACACTACTGTACTCTACTGTACTCTACTGTACACTACTGTACTCTACTGTACTCTACTGTACTCTACTGTACTCTACTGTACTCTACTGTACTCTACTGTACTCTACTGTACTCTACTGTACTCTACTGTACTCTACTGTACTCTACTGTACTCTACTGTACTCTACTGTACTCTACTGTACTCTACTGTACTCTACTGTACTCTACTGTACTCTACTGTACTCTACTGTACTCTACTGTACTCTACTGTACTCTACTGTACTTTACTGTACTCTACTGTACTTTACTGTACTCTACTGTACTCTACTGTACTCTACTGTACTCTACTGTACTCTACTGTACTCTACTGTACTCTACTGTACTCTACTGTACTCTACTGTACTCTACTGTACTCTACTGTACTCTACTATACTATACTGTACTCTACTGTACTCTACTGTACTATACTGTACTCTATCGTTCTCTACTGTACTCTACTGTACTCTACTGTACTCTACTGTACTCTACTGTACTCTACTGTACTCTACTGTACTCTACTGTACTCTACTGTACTCTACTGTACTATACTGTACTCTACTGTACTATACTGTACTATACTGTACTCTACTGTACTCTACTGTACTCTACTGTACTCTACTGTACTCTACTGTACTTTACTGTACTTTACTGTACTTTACTGTACTCTACTCTACTCTACTCTACTCTACTCTACTCTACTCTACTCTACTCTACTCTACTCTACTCTACTCTACTCTACTCTACTCTACTCTACTCTACTCTACTCTACTCTACTCTACTCTACTCTACTCTACTCTACTCTACTCTACTCTACTCTACTCTACTCTACTCTACTCTACTCTACTCTACTCTACTCTTCTCTACTCTACTCTACTCTACTCTACTCTACTCTACTCTACTCTACCCTACCCTACCCTACCCTACCCTACTCTACTCTACTCTACTCTACTCTACTCTACTCTACTCTACTCTACTCTACTCTACTCTACTCTACTCTACTCTACTCTACTCTACTCTACTCTACTCTACTCTACTCTACTCTACTCTACTCTACTCTACTCTACTCTACTCTACTCTACTCTACTCTACTCTACTCTACTCTACTCTACTCTACTCTACTCTACTCTACTCTACTCTACTCTACTCTACTCTACTCTACTCTACTCTACTCTACTCTACTCTACTCTACTCTACTCTACTCTACTCTACTCTACTCTACTCTACTCTACTCTACTCTACTCTACTCTACTCTACTCTACTCTACTCTACTCTACTCTACTCTACTCTACTCTACTCTACTCTACTCTACTCTACTCTACTCTACTCTACTCTACTCTACTCTACTCTACTCTACTCTACTCTACTCTACTCTACTCTAGTCTAGTCTACTCTACTCTACTCTACTCTACTCTACTCTACTCTACTCTACTCTACTCTACTCTACTCTACTCTACTCTACTCTACTCTACTCTACTCTACTCTACTCTACTCTACTCTACTCTACTCTACTCTACTCTACTCTACTCTACTCTACTCTACTCTACTCTACTCTACTCTACTCTACTCTACTCTACTCTACTCTACTCTACTCTACTCTACTCTACTCTACTCTACTCTACTCTACTCTACTCTACTCTACTCTACTCTACTCTACTCTACTCTACTCTACTCTACTCTACTCTACTCTACTCTACTCTACTCTACTCTACTCTACTCTACTCTACTCTACTCTACTCTACTCTACTCTACTCTACTCTACTCTACTCTACTCTACTCTACTCTACTCTACTCTACTCTACTCTACTCTACTCTACTCTACTCTACTCTACTCTACTCTACTCTACTCTACTCTACTCTACTCTACTCTACTCTACTCTACTCTACTCTACTCTACTCTACTCTACTCTACTCTACTCTATTATACCAAGAATTGTCTAAATGTTCTTCATCATACTCTATATTTAAGTTTCACACTTAATATTTACACATATGTCTAAAATGTATCTTTTTCAACCTCCATATTCTAAAGCTAGTTTCAAATTTCAAATTTCTGTACCCCATTTAAATTTTATAATTTTTCGTTCACCTTTTTCCTTAGACTTCCCTTTTTTGTCAACCTTTGATTCCTAATTAATACCAAAAATTCGTCCCTATTTATTTTGTTTCATTTTTAATTTTATTCCACTTTTACTTTTATTTTTATTTACTTTTCTATTTTTCTTTTCATCCTCCTTTTTTTATCTGATTTAATTTTATTCTAATTTGACTTTAATTTTACATAGTACCTTTTTTTGTAATTTGCTTTCTTTTCTTTTTTTTTTCTTACTTTTTCATAACCTTCTACCTCAAAAAAAAAGTTTGGGAAAACTGAAAATTTGGCCACACTGTCATATGTAATTTGAACCGTAGATTCTAAAAAACGTACAATATAGTATCCATTTGAAAAATGATATTTTCGATAGCCCGAAATCGCTTATTTTGTTTATTTACAAGTGATAATTTTAAATTATATCTAATAGAGCACATGTTAATACAGCACTATTTTAATAATAAAATATGCCAACGAATTACCTCCTTTAAAATTGACATGCCATTTAGGAACAATACACAATAGGTATATGTAATAGTCATTAATAGATTTAAAGAGAAGAAAACTAATTAGAGATCCGAAAACTAATGAAAATTGCGTAAAAATTTAGGAATATTTTCTAATCCTAAATAATCAAAGGTTAAAACAAACCAAATCAAATTGAAAAATAGGCTGCGAGACTATTTTAAAATAAGTAGTTAAAATTTTGGCGGGCGCACAAGTTTCACAAATTTATTTATCTTATGCCTAAAAAGTGTGCGAAGATTAAAACTGGCCGTGTTTTAAGCGTTGCAAGTAAATATCAATTTGTTTTTTAATTCAGAAAGAAAAGCACACGCAACATGTTTAAGGGTATAACGGTTACAGAAAATTAATATTTTCAATAATTTTAAAATATTTTAATCCCAGAATGCTTGTGAAATTTTTCAGATTTAATTAACATACGTGAATTACAAGCGTTTAACACAGTGTCTAGGTACACGCTAACTTGTACGCAATTCAAAAAGTTATATACACGCAAAACGTCTTGACAGAGTAGGGGAGCTGTGTCCATTCCGGTCGGCGTAGCCAGGTATGGATTGAAATTTTCTGGTGGCGGCGAAGCCGCTTCATTTTCTTGTCACGGCACTATTATTATTTGTTCATGTATGTGAAATTTGCTTCTAAGGTTTATAAAATACTACTGCTAGCTGCTAGTCACGGCGTAAATCAAAACAAACAACACGCATTCACACAAACACCTCCCACCACAGCAATATGACGTTTCGCGTGTATTTAATTTTTTGATTTGTGTACATTTTAGCGTGTACCTAGCAACAGCGATATTTTAAATATTAGTTGAAGACATTTCTGAATGAGTAGTTCGATATTCAAGTCGTTTTTTTAATCTAATAGTATATATTATAGTATAGTCGTGATAATGGGTTTTATGTAGTAAGAGGAAGTTAATCTTGCTCGTGGTATTATATTTTTTACAATAAATTTGCATGATTAAAATAATCACGACGATAAATGCATAATTATTTATATCCTAAATCATTTTTCTACTAGCACTTTGCAAAGTAGGCTTTTGCCCATTTAAATCTAACTGGAAAGATGACGTCTTCCGAGATATGTGGCACACTCGTGCGCCAAAATTAATTTGACACACGCTTATTTCCATTAGAAAGGTAGTCATTATTAAAGCTAATCGGTACTTTTAAACAAAATCTGAATATTTTAGTTGAGCATTGAAATTTTATCAGTCGTATAAAAGGTTTGTCAAAAATCACATTTTTTGAAAAACCTCGTATATCGCTTTAAAAAATTGATATCTGATGGTTAAAATACAACCATCGGGTAACAAATTTTATCAGTCGTATAAAAGGTTTGTCAGAAATCACATTTTTTGAAAAACCTCGTATACGGCTTTAAAAAATTGATATCTGATGGTTAAAATACAATAATCGGGTATCAAATTTTATCAGTCGTATAAAAGGTTTGTCAAAAATCACATTTTTTGAAAAACCTCGTATACGGCTTAAAAAAAATTGATATCTGAAGGTTGCATTTTAAGTTTCGAACCATGCATAACTTTTTAACAGGCATACATTTTTTCACAAAACCAATAATAAAAAAGTTTTCCATATGGTTCCAACTTATTGTATTTTCAAATACATATCCCTTCTTAATATTTAAATGTACGTCTGTGCGTATGTACGTCTGTGCGCATGTACGCCTACACGATAACTCTAGAATGAAAGCTTCGTTAGATTTTGATTTTCTTTGATCATTTCTTTTAACAGAAAATCCCATTGATTTTCAAAAATTTTCAGTTCACCATTTGTGCCCTAATTATCAATATATTAAAATGCAATGTATTTCTTAAAGAGCCTATTTATACACTTCAACAAGGGTATTGATTTCAATATGAGGATATCTATGCTTGTCAACTGTGAAACCACATATATTTTTTTCTATATTGCTCTCACTCTTAAATGTCGAATATTTAATTTTTTTTAACGTACTTTAAATGATTTTGGGTAGTTATACTATAAGTGAAAGTAATAAGTAAAAATATTGGTTTGATATTAAACAAATGTGGACCATAGATGAATAACTTGCAGGATGATAAAGTAACGATTTTTAAAGAACTCTAGAATGAATTCGAATCTGAATTTGATGTTAAATTCAAATAGGCAAAGGGCCTAAATATTATTTTTACCTTAGCAGACTTAAGGGTAAATACCCTAGATTATATTTTTACATGGACAGGCTTAAGGGCAAATATCCTAAATATTTTTACACAGGCTAGCTTTATGGGTAAAGGGCTAAATATTTTTGTATGACCCGGCGTACAGCGTATAGAAACCTAATATTTTTACCTAAATAGACTTGTTACATAGCGTTTACCAGGAAAGTACGAAATTTTGAAGTGTGACAACAGTGCAAAGCATGCGTAGTAGACGTAAATACTGACTCATTCATGATACGTAAGCTCACTACTCAGATAAACATAATCGCACAAATCATCCCCACTGAAATTTGCAATTATTGTCTCCATCTTTTTAATACGGCAGCTTTGTCTGCGTATTAATAAACAAAATCTGAATGATTGCAATAAAAAATGGCTTAATTATGAATGAATCGATTGGTCTAGTAGTTTTTCGTCGTTGGTTCTTCTACTGTCCAATTCTTTTTTAATCTCTCCTAATATTGTGTTACTGCTAATACCCTAGAACGGCTCTGGGGGCTTATTCTCTAACCAGCGCCTCTCTAGAAACGCGTTAAACAACTAACAAAAGTATAAAGCACAATCGTTTTGGTATTCTCTACTTGCTGTGCTATTCGTACTTGAAAAACGTAAAGCGCCTTTAAAAAAGTTACACATGAATAGTGTTTTGCCATTTAAGACTAAGCTTTGTGGACGTAGATAAGTCAAGCATTAAAATACCTATGAACCTAGATATTATGACTTGAATATTAAAATGTCAGCAAATTTAAGTTCTTTATTATGTTTTTGATTGGTTATATTTTGAAATTGGTCTCAATATATTCTAGTAGAGTTAGCTTTTGGGCCCTATCCAGCTACTTTTAAATTACTGAGTCCATGTTTAATGATTAATGAATTATAATAATGTCAAAATCACATTCAAATCCTAACCTTAGTTATTTAGACAAATCAGCATTTTTGATTTATAATTATGACAGCTTAATTAAAATCAATAACGAATTGCAAAATCGTCTAGCATTAAAGAATACCATAATCGCATTCTTGTCGTTTTGGTAATCGAATTTTGTTGAGAAGTCCGCTTGGCGCTTTCCTTGCTATACATTTTCGGCTTAAAGTTGGAGAATACCCCCTTCTAGTCGCGGAAAGGGTGTTTGAGTTCCTTTTATGCGAGACTATATCTGCAATCTTATTACCCTTCACCCTGTTATGTCCCGGGATCTGAGTGAGAATAATTGAATTTTCCTTGCCTAGCTAATTTAATTTTTCTATGCATCTTTAGGCACTTTGTAAGCTGATTGCGAGTTGAGTGCTTTGATGACTGCTTGGCTATTGGACATGATGATAATTTCTTGTCTGCGATAGTTTCTCTCAATGTAGAAATGGATACATTTCTCAATGGCGTGAATTTCTGCCTGGAAGGTGCTTGGTTATTTACCCAAACTTTTAGAGCACCTCTTTCTAGATCCATACACTCTTATTCCAATATGGTTTTGAGACCATTCGCATACCATTCATTCTGTTGGTTAGAAGCACGATAAGTTCTTCTCTCCTTTCTTGCAGATTTTTAAGTTTTTCATAAAACTGTATTTCTTCCTCATTTCGTCCTGGGGCATAACCCAAGTATCTTCAGGCCTAAATATAATAGATTTTCGTCTGATTACTGACTATTCTATAACTTGTCCTTTTTGCTACGTATCATTAAATATAGAGGGATGAGGTTTAAAATCACCGCCATTGCGGCCGTAGGACAGGTTCTCATTACTCACCGGTGATGCAAACAGACTAGTCTTTGTAATTTTGAGAGTAGCTAAACCACAAGCCATATATTACAATTTATATACACTGCCTAGGTATATTTAATTTAAAAAATTGTTTCTAAAGTAGGACATGACCGACAAAGACAGAGATACCACTCATGTCCGGTATAAATATGCAAGCTTATGAATTAAGAATAAACTGTTAAAAAAAAAACTATACGCTCCGACATGTGCTTCTTTTCCATGGCATACTTTAGAAAAAAATTTGTGAATCACTCAATATTATGTTAAAAATGTTTATTATTGTTACAGTGGCTCATTTGATTATGATGTTGGGTAAGTATATTTTATTTAATCTTTATTATAGGAATTATGACCAATTTTCTCCTGTTTTTTCATTACTTCTCAGATTGCTCCTAATGCGTTCATTTCTAATCTTCTTCTCACTTTATAATCCTTGTGCCAGTCAAGGCGCCAGATTTTAAAATTATTTGTATTCCATCTTTTCTCAGTTTTTCCAGAAAAATCACTTTTTAAATAAGTCTTTTATCTTATTCACCGTTTCTCTCTTTCTTGCCCCATGTATTATTTTATTTTTCTATCTATTAATTTCTTTCTGGTTATATATCTTAAATGTATCAATCAAATAGAGAAACTAAATTAAAAATATATTCTAATAAAAACATTTTACTATAAAACTAAACTAAAGAACTAAACTAAACCATCTCTTTTTCATTGCTTGAGTATCTATTACATAATCAGCTTATTTCCATCCTTAATTTAGGTACTTATTTATTATAAATATTCGCAGATTAGTTGTTTTTTCTCTATGTTTATAGTTTTGATGGTAGAACTTCTTATTTTATTTCTTAATTATACTCTTAGAAATTTAATTTCAGATGCGTTTATTTTGCAATCCAATGTCCTGCCATAATGGACAAAAATGGCCAATGTTTGGCAAAAACAAGAAAGACTGTTAACTTGACTTCAAATCCCAGTCTCACAAAATTATAGTAGCAAGACCCTAAAACCACCTACGTTTGACAACATGGAAATCATATCGACTCCAATTTGAAGCTGCAGCTAGAGCCAATGGCTTGACCGAGAAAGAGATGGCGGCTTCATTGATAGTGTCACTGCGAGGTCAGGCAGCAACCGTTTTACAGTTACTTCCTCAAGAGGAACCCAGTTATGTATCTCTCGTCCAAGCTTTGGAGACAAGATATGGCCAGCAGTATTTGAAACAGGTTTTCCTAAGCCAGCTAAAAGTTCGTAGCCAAAATGAGAGCAGAAAATGCTTTAATTGCGGAAGAATCGGACACCTTTAAAGAACCTGTCGAAGCAGGGCTCGTTCTTTGAATCGAGAATCGGAGAATGATGCTAGAAATTTATTCATTCAAAATCAGAAGGCTTCTTCTCCTTTGAGAGCTTGATGTTTGCTAAACATTTCAAGTCGATATCATTTTTCGTTTTTCAGTTTTTTTTTTAAATATTGTAACGCCCCTTAACTCCCCAATTTCTTCAGATTTTTTTCAGTATCAATAGGCTTTATGTTCTTATAGAAAGAACTTCATTTTTACTAAAAATTTCCTGTTGATATCGGTTTTCGTTTTTAATTTAGAATTTTTTTTTAATTTCAACCCATATTAACCCCCTATTTTTAATCAGATTTGTTCAAAGTCAATAGGCTTTCTCCCCTTATAAAGCTTGATTTTTCCTTAAAATTTTTAAGTTGACATCATTTTTCGTTTTTGACTTATCGTGCATACCAAAAACGTGACATCGGACAGATGGACAAAGTAAACCTTTAATACTCTTTACTGTGTGAAGAGTAGAAAATAAAAATATATAAGGTAAAATAAACAGTTTAAAGAGGCCAACAAGAATATTCAGCTTCTTTTGTCAAAGGATACTAAAAGTTTGAAAGCAGCACATAATTGTAAATTTACAGAAATCTGTGAACTATAATAGTGAGATATACATTGTTAAATCTCACGCTACTGCACATCTTCATAGAAGGAGATACCAGGTCAGCTATGCACAGGCTAATGCAGGGACAAAACCCAATAAGCCAACTAGATAGCACCGACCACACAAGACTATATCAGCAAGTAAAAAGGGATAATATTCTAGCTATGCCTACTGATAGAGCCATAACCACATACAAATTTAAAAGAAATTTTCAAATTCAAATACCAGCCCGAGAATCCTGGAAACAGGGACCTCCCGTACAGGCTGAACTCGTCTGGTACATAGACGTTTCAAAAACCAAGGAAGGAGCCGGTGCTGAAATCTATGGACCCAAGTCGAAAACAACGATTTCGCTGAGTTTAGGAAAATATGCAACAGTGTTCCAGGCTGAACTAATAGCCATACAACACTGTGCAAGAGAAATATTAAAACAGCAAGTATCAGGCAAAACTATTGCCATTTAGTCAGATAGCCAAGCAACTCTGAAGGCACTTCTCTCACCAGAAATCAAATCACGACTGGTGAAAGACTGTCTAGAAGACCTGGCAGATCTAAGTAGTCAGAATAAGGTGAGTCTAGCCTGGGTTCCAGGCCATGAGGAATATCAGGGCAATGAAAAGGCTGACGAATTAGCCCGAGAAGGCTCAGATAAGATTATCACAGGCCCTGAACCCTTCTGTGGAGTTGCTAACGCATTGTGCAAGTCATCCAGTAAACAATGGATGCAAAAAGAGTCTATCCAAGACTGAGACAGTCCAAATAGTACAATTGTGAATTGTACTAGACTGGCAACACTGGTTTCTATTTGTGTGAGCGGCGCGCCAATTGATGTGTTCTTTTGCAGTTTGAAGAATCAATTGGCGTGTTGTTTTCTCTTTTTAACCTATATACATTCACAAAATCCTCTCGCTCGTCTAGGGTTACTCATCATAATGCGCCACAGACACAGTATACTGGTACTGGTAGGTATATTGTACCAAAGAGACGCGATCAGCCAGAGAGCAATGATGTACCAAAAAATAAAGATTAACACGTATGAAAATAAAAATATTAAAATGAAATTTATATTTTTATGTTATTTATGTAATTATAAAATACTGTGTTTCTATGAAATTTAACTGGGTATTCACTTCACAAATGAACCATTGGAGAAACCGCTTCTGTTCAGAAGTATTTTTGTCAAGGGAAACAAGTACTTTTGTTGTTTTTGCCAGTGTTACTTGATTTGGATTGCATAATTGAACCATCATATTTTTTATGTAATGCTCAAGCTATAGAGCCAAATCTTCCTATTTTATACTCTCTATTGTTGTCTTTACTAATTTTTTATCTGCACCAAAACTTCGGATGGCTTTACTCCTGATAAAATTTGAGTTGGATTCTTGAATTCTTGAGAGATATTGAATAAAACATTCTATCAAAATTTTAAATTAAAACAAATCAAAAAGTAACCTACGTAACTATGTACGTTATTTAAGTTTCCTTTCTAATATATATGGGGGTCATTAAAAAATTTGACGTAAGAGTAGCTTGGGATGAAAAGTATGTGAAATTTCGTCCCTCATTCCTCATCCTCATTCAAGATTCCAACTTAAATTTTGCCAAAAATAAAGTCATTCAAAGTTTTCACGTATGTCTTATTTAACATTTTTTAATTTTTTGTAGATAATGAAGTTCACTTTGCCCAAGGTACGTATTTTTAAATGGAATATTATAAATTGTCCAAAAACATACTTATTTAAAGAAACAACCCAGACAGCACAATTAGTCCAATGGACGTCCACTTTTAGATCCATTTGAGGGTCAGAACATCCATGTCCGTATTTGGACATCCAGTGTACGTCCGTTTATGACCATTAATTTGACAGCTGCATATATATACCCAGATGACGTCTTTTTTGGACTTAATTTTAAGTTTAGTAGTATTCTGACGTCTAGTCTAGTCATAGTCAAGTATTTGTTTGCTGTGCTATTGTCAGGGCAACTTAAGAGCTCCTTGGCAACTCTGTAGCTTCTTGTTTTACGTTTGTTAATGCCGATCTTGTTAGTCCAATGAAAGGGCCAGCTCCAAAAAGTATTTGGTTGGCTGCCTTTTTGGCTAGTAAATCAGCAAGACGATTACCTTTAGATATGGCGTAACCTTTGATCCATTCTAAGGTGACCATATTATTGATGGATACTTCGGTCTAAGGTTCTTGACATTCTAAACCTATCCGCTATTAGAATGAGGTATCAAAAATAAATCGGCACATAGGTAGCAAGAGAATATCAACTGAAAACCCACTTATTTTGGGCCAAAGCAACTACTCTAGGAAATAGCGCTTACGATAAAAAAGTTGAACGGATGGAACTCGCCTTGCCTCGCACACGTGGGGTTTAGCGACTGTAGCACAGGTAGAGTTAGGTATTTCTTGATAAAGAAACGAAGGACCAGGATTTCTTCCAAAAGTGTATTTACAAACGTCTACAAATTAACAGACCTTAAAAGTTTAAATAAATTGCTTAAAAATGCAATGGAATGCGGAATTATTTTTATTAGTTGTGATTTTTTAATGAATTTTTTATGACATCTTCTTCCTACTATGTTTTTTATTATATAAAGAAGATGTAACCTAGTAAACCGTAAGGAGTCTATAAGGCAATAAAATAAATAAAAACTAAAACTAAGTATTTGGGACCAAAGAGTTTGGGACCAAAGAGTTTGGGACCAAAGAGTTTGGGACCAAAGAGTTTGGGACCAAACAAAAGTCATGTTAACCATCTGACTTGTGGTATTTGAGCTCTATAGTAAATTTGAAGAATTTTTACTTCTATACTATATACGTGCCGGGCCGGCCGTTTCGAAGCTAGGAGAGGGAGGGGGGAAAATCGAAAAAAAAATCATGTTAACCACCTGGAGTTAATGGTAATGATTAATACATGTATCTTAATAATAGACGAACCATCGTCGTCAGACAAATTCCATTGGCAGTTGGCGAGCGAGGAATTAAAAAAAAAACGTTCAATGTAACCGGTCCAAACTTTGCTCATATTGTTTCTTTTGTCATGTATATCATGGAAAAAATTCGCTCAGAAATGGTAGTTTTTTTTTAATAATTTGATCCCAAAATTTCGGAAGTGTGGTAAAAAATTTCAAAAATTGCCAAAGAAAGGTTAAAATTATTAAATTTTTCTGACTGGCTATTTTTGGATCCATTTAGTTCCAAATAATGCTAAAAGGTTGCAGTCAGGCAAATTCAGTTTATTTAACCCCACTCGACGCCCCTCACAAGAGTTAAAAATTAAAAAACTGATTTTTGCGTGGTAAAGATTCAAAAACGTTACAGAATATATTATATCGGATATTTATGCTTACCTTCAACCCTCTCTAGAGTTCGAAAATGGGGTTAAAAGGGGTGAAATTTTAAATTCATTTGAAACCGCCAACATTTTTTATTTTCGTTCTCAATCCGTTAACATTTACAAACGTTTACTTTTATCAGTGTAAATTCACTCTGTCTCAGTGTACAAGAGGCAAAAAGTGTATAAAATACCGTTGTCGCCCCTAGAATTGGGTTAAGGGTTGGTTTGACAAAACGCGCCTATTTCGTATCAATGTTTTTTATTTTGAACGTTTTTTAAATTATACATTAAGGTCGTTATCTATATCATCCATTAAAAGTTGGTAGCCAATGTTTGGTTTTTCATCATACGTATTGGAATCACTAACAGCAGTATGCATAGTCGAACGTCAGAGATTCATCTCGGCGGTATCAGCAGCGATCATAGCCCTCAGAAAGTCTAGATACCGCTTGGCGTATGCTGTCAATACAAAAAAATGACCCCATTCAAGCTTGTCGCCATGTTAGGTAAATTTATGTTTTGGCTACACTGATTTTTAGTTTGTGTGTTCTGTAATACGTGAACACCGATAATCTGCACTTTGTTATTAGTTATAAGTGAGTGAGACGCACAATTTCTAATTTCAAATTAAGAACAAAACTTTGACAAACCTATTTGATTTTCCTAGATCTGTTCAGACAGGACCGGTTTTATACATTTTCTTGTTCTTGAAATGTTATTTTTACATGGTTATATATATATTATTGGATAAGTGTTTTGTGTATATATTGCTATGAGAATTATAGAGAAATTCAGTGAGATTTATGTAATATAATTCAAATTACAAGTAAACCATCTGTTCCTGTTTGGCAATATGGAGAAAATACCTACTTCAATATCAAATGTACTATTTAAAAGAATGTGATTGTTAACCGGTCATTTATTTATATTATGAAAATAAAAACTCGAATTTTTTAACTAGGGAAAGATATACTTACATCGGTAACAAGGTATTTTTAGAAAAACTAATAGATTACTCCTATTCCTATAGTTTATTTGAAAATAAATAATAGCAAAATTATATAAAAATATGGACCTTTGCCATAAAAACTGTGCTACCAAGCATTTTCAAATAAACTATAATGATAATTTGATTTAATAGAGCGAGTATAAGATCTCACCTGTTAGAGAAATTGGGGCATAGGGAAGAGATTATGAAGCAGGTAAGCAAAGTCGTTGCAAAAGATAAATATATAGAAGTTATTTTAAAAATTTGATAAAAAAACTAGTGGAACAACAAATGGAGTTGTCGCTATCGGAGATCCAATCAGCAGAAAGTAAAAAAAAAACTTTGGGAATGTTGGAAAAGGGCACAGCAATAGGCCCAAAACAATTCCTTGGTTTTTTAATAAATATAATCTTGCGAGATGTAAAAAATACTGCTAGAGTGGAGAAGCAGTATTGTTCTAATGTAGAAAACCCAGGGACATACAGCAGTGCACTAACCATAGGCGAATAGTTACTAAATTATACAAGAGTCCCATCTCGATTTTATTTTTAAATATTTTTGAGAATACCTATTATTATTTGTTACATTGAGTTTAATAGAACCACAGATTTCGAATGTATTAAAAGTTATTTAAAAAGTACCTCTATAAATATATAGAAAATGTGTATATGACTAACTGATTTTATTAATCTTTTTTTGGAGTAGGTAAATATATTTTGAAAAATTTACAATCTTCTTTTGAATAAAAGACAAAATATTTCTGTTTTTATTAACTGAACAATATTTTATACAAAGATAATATATACCTATTTAAAAGAAAATATTACATTTTACAAGTATCGCATATTTATATGAAATAACTTACTCAATAAGAAAGAATTAAATGAAACAAATTAATAAACAATGGATATGAAAAATTGCTTTAACAATTTAATCCTTAGATAAACTTATTCTTACATATTGCTTTAATCAATTTATTTACTATAAAAGTATATTTTCTATCATTTATTACATGTAATAAAATAAAGCATAAAACATACAAACTATAATATGTACCTACTTAGAACGGAACTAATATTATTGTATCAAGGTAGTAATAGTGGACATTTTCCGAATAAAAAAAAAAGTAAAAAAGAAGTAACGGTCGACACGTTTTTCTGACTATTGGTCTTCATCAGTACGGTGCAGCCAAGTTCAAAGGATCATAGCACGTGTTTTGGAAAAATTGTAAAATAGGTCACTAACAAGGAGCCAATAACACATTTGCCGTTTCAGCTAGTATCCCCAAATTTTCTGGGCTTATACTAAAGTCACAAAATGATTCAATGGTCTTCCTATGGCTATCAGTTATTCTTTCCTAAAAATTTTTGGTATGCTACAACAAAACACAAATTATTTGATTTTGAAAATATACAAATATTTTTGAAAATTTACACATGAAATGTTATTCCTTCCTTGCATATTCTACCGTTGGATGCATTGTTACATTCACGTACAAAACAACAAGAGATTTTGAAAATCCTGTAAAAATTTAACACCAAACCACAAATGTTTTTTATTAAAATAAAACACTAAACGACTAAACTAAAAAATAATGTTTGAAATAAAACCTTTACTAGAAGAACAAAATAAACAACACAACAGATAATAAAATCGATTATATACGTCGAACGCCGATCTTACGCTTATTACTAAACTTGTGCCGATTCTGTCTTGTCAGAAGCGCCAACTTAAAATTTATTGACATTTATTTATCATGGCGCCAATCATATGGGGGGTCAAAATGTTTTTACGATGCAGTATCTAGACCTTCTGAGGGCTATGGCGGCGATCCGCTGGCGAAAGCACGAAAAGGTGGTGACTTGCTGCAGATTGTCACCGGCATGTCATCTCTCGCAAGTTTTCATGCTATTTTATAGGGAAAAATTAGTTTTCATGTTATTTTATAGGGACAAATTTGATATTCGTTCATTGTTTTTTGCGTTTTAAAAAATGAATCATGAATAACATGCGAGATATGCCTTTGACAATCTCCAGCAAGTCGCCACCTTTTCGGGCTTTCGCCAGCGGATCGCTGGTGATACGCCGAGATGAGGTCTGTGAACTTGATACCACAACATTGCAAAAAAGGGTCAAAAATGTGAGAGATTTGCTAATCGTTTGCCCATTATTGTCCATGAAATAACTTTTTTTGCCCACCCTCTTTTCACAATATATCGAAAATAATTTTCACGGGCCAACTTCCAGACAAAACTTAAAATTTTTATAATAGCCTTTCGTTTGCACACGTTTGCCCATAAATTAATTTCTTCAGAAAAAAAGTTAGTTAAAATAAAACAAAACAAAAAAATATTCACAA